TCTACATATGAAGAGTGGGAAAAATGAAATTTGGCAGCGAAACCCCGGATTTAAGTCGCGGCACAATTTTATTAGCATAACTGGGAAAGATCTTTCGGGCGTCAGTCGCAGCTGATTTCCACACCTGGGTTCTTGACACGTGTCCCTTAGCTTCCTTAGCTAGCGCACGAGCTCGGTATTTTTGAATTTCGCACTGTGGATGTGGAGGACACAAATGCCCTACCTCTCTGTCTCAAATTGCGCCTGCAGCGTGATCTCGTTCTATATAATATATAGACCAAACGATGCCCTCGTACTCAGAGCGTGGTAATTGAAGGAAAATAAATCTAATTCTTTAAATCCTTATTAATAATCTTAGTTTTAATGAATAAAACGACACTACGTACTGGGGTGAGCATAGTTCGGTTCAAACCGATCGAACCGGCCGAAATTTAACATTTCGGTTTAGTTTTTATTAGAGTTCGGTTCAGGTCGGGTTGAAGTTTTATCAACCCGAACCGATCGAATTGTATCACCCGTTCTAATTACTATTTACATCCGCTTAAACCCGACCCATTATAGTTTATATAGAGTTACTTCTTTACAGCTTGATATATTTTTCTTCTGATAGAGATAAAAATACCCCAACAATAGTGTCTTCTCCAATTCTAGGGTTTTTCATTATCTCTAGTTTTCTGTCACTTTCTTGTTAGATCTAAATCAAAACTTGAGATCTAAAATCATATAGCCATGATTAATTCAAAGAGATTAACAATAATCAAAAGAGCGGAAGCTTATACCTGAATCCATGGATGAAATCTTGATTTGGGTTTTTGATGATCTTCTAACCTTAGGGTTTCTCTAAATCCGAATTTCTCTAGCTAGATGGGGGTGTAGAGAATTAGAGAATGTAACCCTAGGTTAGGGACCATAACCCCTTATTTATAGATGTTGTACTTTTGTAATTTAGCCCCTCAATAAATCACAATTACAACCTGGTATCTGCACATATAACCCCATGATTATATTTAAATACCCATTAACCCAACTTAATTGATCACTTTAGTGGGTTATCCTGAAAGATAGCAATACACATTGATTAATCATATGTGCCCACAAATAGATTTATTAGATTAAATCCAACAATCTCCCACTTGGGCACCATATGATTCCTTAAATTGTGTATAACCTTATGAGCTCAAAAATTGCTATCACTGAAAAGGTATTTCCGAACAATCTCGTCCATTGACTATATCAATATAGGATCAAAGCGGCCTTCGTCACATTTATCGTGACTCGACCCATCAATGGTCACATATACCAATACAATCAAACGACATAGATCAATCATGGATGTGCAGCATGAAAATTACATGCAATGTGATCAGTACATGTCTATTTTCAACTGGTCCTCCTTAGTGAGGTCAAAACCAAACATAATGTAACAGAGTGTCTTAACTGAAAACTTTATTCTGATCAGACAATACAAACAAACATAAAGCACCACAAATACAAACTCCCACTAAAACATAATATCCTCAAATAATACCACACCCATATGAGCAGTATGCTCATGAAAGACCTTAGGTGGCAATCCCTTAGTAAGAGGATCAGCTATCATGGAGTTTGTCCCAATGTGCTCTATGGATATCTGTCCACTCTGTACCCTTTCTTTCACAACCAGAAACTTAATATCAATATGTTTTGACTTAGTTGAGCTCCTGTTATTATTGGAATATATTACTGCAGATTTATTGTCACAATATAACCTTAGTGGTCTTTCAATATTTTTCAAAATACGCAGTCCCGTGACAAAATTTCGCAGCCATATTCCCTGATTGGATGCCTCATAGCAAGCTACAAATTCTGCTGTCATAGTGGAGGAAGCTACTAGTGTTTGTTTGACATTTTTTTCATGATATAGCTCCTTCTGCTAACATATAAATGTAGCCTGATGTAGACTTTCTGCTATCTTGGCATCCAGCAAAATCAGAATCCGAATACCCAATGACCTCTAACTTTTCTGATTTTCTGTATGTGAGCATGTAATCTTTTGTTTTCTGAAGATACCTCATAACCCTTTTGACTGCTATCCAGTGATCCATACCAGGGTTGCTTAAGTATCTGCCTAACATCCCAACAATGTACGCAATATCCG